CCATGAGCACGACCCCTCCACCTCCCAATTACGGCTGCAACACACCTTCTGACCAGAAGGCGGCAGGCAAGTGCAAAGCGAAGACAAAACACTCGCTCAAGAGGCCCTCCAAGTTGGCGGAAAAGCAAGCCAGCCGTAGGCACCAGGCCCTGGAGAAGGAGTTCTCCAGAGCGCAGAGGCAGGCCCAATTGGAATTGGTTCAAATAGCGGCCACCGAGATGGAATTACCATTGGGTCCATCCACATCAACCCAGAGCGCGTGGTCCATTCCAGGAACACCGCAACCACTGGATCCGCCATCTACATCAGCCCAACAAACAACCACGGCGGCAGGCACAACCACTGAGTCCAACTCTCCACCTGCGGTCACCACACCCAAAGGTAATGACATAGGGGACATCTGGGCAGATGGACGGCTAGAGGCCCTATTAACCAAAGTGGTGGACCGAGCCCTAGCACAGCGCTCCGCCCACCACGACCAGGGGCCCTCCATCTCAGCCATGCCACACTCGGAACTCCCCTCAGAGTCCTCAGGCATTCAGGAACCCGTCTCCCCGGCCCAGTCCTCCATGAGTGGTTATTCTTCACCACAAGAGGAGGATCAACCTGGGATCTCTATGTCAGAGGATGAGGAACTTCTCCCTGAGCCCCCCTCAGGGGGATTATTTAATCACAACCGCTTCCTCACGATACTACGCACGGCCACAGCCATTGCGGACATGGGGACGGATCAGTTTTCTCAGCCGCAAGCGACACCGGCCACCACATCCAGACCCGTATTCGTAGAAAAGGTGACAACGCAACACCATATACCTTGCCCCGCCATTTTCCTGAAAGGGATCAAGAAGCCATGGGACTCTCCCGCTTCCTTCCCATCAGTGAGTGGTACGGACAAAAAATTATACAGCACTGCCACAGACCTCAATGAGGCCTTAGAAATTCCTAAAGTAGATGAAGCCTGGACCCCCTTGGTCTCCCAGACAGCCATGGCTGGGGACCTAGTGGAGGCCCTTAAGGCAGATGACAAAAAGTGGGAACAAGCCTTTCGCAAAACCCACCAGACAGCGGCATGGGCCATCAAAGCAGCCACCTCGGCCTCCTTTTTTGTCCGGGCCACCCTCATCTGGTTGCAACAACTACAAACCATAGTTCCTATGGAGGACATACGAACACACCAGGACCTGGCTAAGATGGTAGCAGCCACGGAATACGCTGCAGACGCAACGTTCCAATCGGCCATTTTTTCATCCAGATCCATAGCATCCAACATAATTGCCAGGAGAATGCTATGGCTAAAACACTGGCAAGCTGACACCAAGGCTAAGTGGCGGCTAGCGACCGCCCCTTACTCAAGCAACGGTCTGTTTGGGGAGGCCTTGGACCCCTATCTTGTAGAGAACAAAGACAAGCGGAAGGTCATGGCACACTTGAACAAAAGGTCAGACAAACGTACCACACCTTACTTTCGTAGGCAGTCCTTTCGCCAACCGACAACCACGCCTATCAGTCAGGCACCCAAGCCATTCACTCCCAGGCAGAACAAACCGTACGGCCGCCCCTACGACAGACCGGGGTTCCAGCCCAGACAACAAAACCAGTCGAGACGACCCTTTCGTGGAACGGGTCGTCCGTACTGGAAGACAAAATGACTCCTACATAGACCTACCCATTGGAGGAAGACTAGCTCACTTCTTCCACCAGTGGGAGCAGACCTCCATGGACAACTGGGTACTACAAACCATCCAGTCCGGGCTGTCCCTGGAGTTCCTGGTCACACCCCCAGACCGACTCATCAACTGCTCGGTCTCCAGGAACCCCACCAAACGCAAACTCATGCAGGAGGCCATCCAACACCTGTTGGACATTCAAGCCATAGAACCGGTCCCAGCGGAATACAGAGGCAGAGGATTTTACTCCATTCTCTTCGTGGTTCCAAAGACTTCAGGAGGATGGAGGGCAATCCTGGACCTAAAAAACCTCAACCGCTACATCACGTACAAAAAATTCAAGATGCAATCCCTTCAGTCCATCCTGGGAAGCATCAGAGAAGGAGACTTCCTGGCATCGATGGACCTCACGGAAGCCTACCTTCACATCCCCATCCACCCAAACCACCGCCGGTTCCTACGTTTCTGTTACGGGGAAAACACTTCCAATACAGAGCTCTCCCCTTCGGTCTATCTTCGGCACCCAGGGTATTTACCAAGATACTAGCAGTGGTAGCCGCCAAACTGAGAAAAATCCCAATACGCGTCCAATGTTACCTAGACGACATACTAATCCAAGCAACATCCCTACAGACAGCTCAGGCGGACGTAAGGACCGTCATTCGCGTCCTCCAATTACACGGATTCTCAGTAAACTTTCAGAAGAGCCAGACAGTTCCCTCGTCCAGGCTGCTGCATCTGGGGGCCATGATAGACACAACCAACTGTATGGTCTATCTCTCCCAAGACCGGGTGGCCGGCATCAGGGAACTGGCTCGCTGGGTTCACAGGCAACGTTCAGTTCCGATACTAACACTTTCCCAATTATTGGGCAAGATGGTATCGGCCATAGCCATTGTACCCTGGGCCAGGCTCCACCTACGGGAACTACAGTGGTTTCTGCTCCCGTACCAACGGCAGAACACCAGCGCATCCAACCACCTAGTCAGGGTCACGGCACAAATCCGCAGGGCGCTACGCTGGTGGTGCTCTCGGGCCGTGACCAAGGGGTCACCCTTCAAGGAACCAGTCAGAGTTACCATCACTACAGACGCCAGTCTGTATGGTTGGGGAGCCCATCTGGACTCCCAGTTTGTACAGGGACGTTGGTCCGCCACGGATCTGAGAAACAACATCAACTGGCTAGAACTCAGGGCTATCCACCTAGCCTTGCAACAATTCAAAGACAGAATCAGAGGCCACCACGTTCTAGTCCTAACAGACAACGTAGCAGCCAAGGCGCACATCAATCGGCAGGGGGGGACCAGATCAAAAACCCTGATGACAGAGTCATGACTCCTATTCAGCTGGGTAGAGCCCAATCTGAAGTCACTAAAAGCGGAACACATATCGGGGGTCAACAACCAGCAAGCGGACTTCCTAAGCCGCACCACAGTGGACCCTTCGGAGTGGGGGCTACACCCGAACTTGTTCCTAGACATCTCCCGCAAGTTCGGGTACCCGATCCTCGATCTGTTCGCATCATCAGACAATGCCCAGCTCCCCAGATTTTACTCTCGTTACTTCAACCCGCGAGCAGAGGGGACGGACGCTCTGAGAACTCAGTGGCCTCAGGGTCTGCTTTATGCCTTTCCCCCACTACCACTCATACCGGCGGTCATCCGCAAGCTGATTCAGGAGCGGGTAGAAGTGATCCTAGTAGCACCATATTGGCCACAGAGACCGTGGTTCGCCGACCTGATGAACCTGTCTCAGTCGCCCCCATGGAACATTCCCCCTCATCAAGTGTCCCTACACCAGGGAACCATCAGTCACCCGGAACCCCAATGATTACAACTGACCGCCTGGCACTTGAGCGCCAGATAATGGCACAGGAACTATTCTCTCCCGGGGCCATTACCATAATTCAAGCTTCACGCCATCCGCATTTATGACTCCACTTGGCAAAATTTTTGCCTTTGGTGCAGGGAACGGCAGTTTGACTTACACAAACTCTACATCCCTCAGATAGTAGATTACCTCTTGGAGGGACTAGACAGAGGCCTCGCCCCCGCGACCATCCGCAGGCAAGTGGCGGCCTTGTCCACCCTCCTCACCTGCACGGATTCGGTTCCCTTAGCTCACCACCCCAGGATCCGCGCCTTTATCAAGGGCGCCTATAACACCAGACCTCCAGTAATTCACAGGTACCCGTCCTGGGAACTACCGCGAGTCCTTCACGCACTCATTCGGTCACCATTTGAACCATTGGCGACCGTTTCCTTGCGACACCTGTCGCTAAAGGTGGCGTTCCTGATTGCCATCACATCGGCCAGACGAATTTCGGAACTGGCCGCACTGTCAGTCAGAAACGACCTATGCATTTTCCACAAGGACAGGGTGGTCCTTAGGTTAGATCCTTCCTTCATACCGAAGGTGAATTCACTCTTTCACAGGACACAGGAAGTAATTCTCCCAAACTTCTGTCCAAATCCAACACATGACCGGGAGCGGCAGTGGCATACATTGGACGTCCGCAGAGCCTTGCGGCGTTATATAAAGCGTACAGAACCCTTCCGCAAATCGGAGGCCCTATTTGTGTCCTTCCAAGCGGGCATCTTGGGGCGGAAAGTTTCCGCGGGCACCATTGGAAGGTGGATCCGAAGCTGTATCGCAGAAGCTTACAATGTATCATCCCTGCCGCCCCCAAGTCATCTCACGGCCCATTCCACCCGAAGCGCTGCAACTTCGGCGGCATGGGCTACCCAGGTGTCAATCGAGGAAGTTTGCAGGGCCGCGACATGGTCCTCGCCTTCCCCGTTTATACGACACTACAAGATAGACCGCTTTGCATCGGCGGACGCCTCCTTTGGTAGGAGGGTCCTCCAGCAAGTTGTCTCAGAGATCAATCTACCGGCCTTATCTGTTTCCCACCCCTTGGGACAGTGAGGCTTTGGTACGTCCCATCCGTGGATTATCCATCTCCTGTACTGGAGAAGGGGCGTTGGTCTTACCTGAACGCCTTTTCTCAGTACGGAGATGGATAATCCACACCCACCCCAAGGCCAGCAGGCCGCTAGTAGGGAGCTGAGAGCCAATACCTCGTCAATCATCAGCCAATTCGCCCTCGTTAAGAATGGACTCCACAGGAAGTGGGGGCGTGTCAAGCTTTGGCTACTTGGTCTCAAGAGCAGGCAGACAGAGAAAACCCATCCGTGGATTATCCATCTCCGTATTGAGAAAAGGCGTTCAGGTAAGACCAACGCCCCTTCTCTGAGCTTGTAGTTTGATTTATGAACTTTTCGATACCGGACTAGGTAATATCTTCAGCAGCTTTTAGGGGATGTCTGTGTCAGTGCTGACACAGACATCCCCTAAAAGTTGCTGAAGATGTTACCTAGTCTGGTAAGAATCGTTTGAAGCCAACCCACAAACTCCAAGGATGAACCTTCATCCTCATCCTACACTCAAACTACAGCTATTCGCCACTATTGCAAACTTTGAGTCTATTTAAACAATTATTAGAAAGTAACATAAAGAACAAGTTGTTCTTTAGCAGAATTTTACATTGGATGGAACCTTGCCAATTATTGAATGTAACATTTCTTTGAATTTATATTCAGTTGCTTCCTGGTTTATCTCCCCACTATTATCTGGTATGATGTCTGGTGCACTGTTTCTCTTGATCAGATTTTTCATCTTAAATAAGGTTAGTATTGTTGATACTATAGCAATGCATTGATGCCATTTGTTATTTCTCATTCCCATTAGGCACACTGAAAGGCGTTATTTGCTATAAAGGTGTGGCATTTAAAGATGCTTATATTTATTTTGCAGTATGTCTGCACATTAATTTATCAGAATAGAACAATAAAATTAATTAAAACTATAATGCCAATAAGTAAAATGAAAATGGTATGCAAATTAGAATGAAATACAAGTAGTATTTGTTAATTTCTAAAGATGTATCTGATATTTAAGCATTTGTATAATAATTGAATAATAGTATTTGTATAATAAGATCTGCATACCTAGTTGGTTTTAAAATGTAGATCCTCAGTTATTAAATTGTTTTGGTTAAAATAATAAATTATCTATTTGATGAATACCTTTTTAAAAATATTTATATTTTATTGATTTTTTTAACATAGATATTTGGTAAACAGCATGTTGTCTGGGTTTATGTTTACAAAGTAATCACTAACTGTTAGTTTCTATATTCCAAAGTCCATATAATAGCTTTGCTTGATTTTCTCTTCTTCCAATCATATTCTCTTTGTAATCTTAAATTAATACAATTCTTTTTTTTATTGAAAATTTTTATAAATTTTTACAAAAAGACAAAAAAATGACAATACAAAAACAGCATAAAAAACAAGACAAAACAAAGCAAAACAACCCTTCCCCAACCCTCCCCAAAAACCCCATTCCCTCCCCCCCCCGGAGCTTCCCAGAGCAGAATATAGGCTTAATTTTAAAAAGTTAGAAAAATTATATGAGAAAAAAGAATATAACACTAAGATGTATATATATATATATATAAATAAAAGTTATAGAAAAGCTAAATGATATTTTTTTATATCCAATTTAAATTGTATAAACTTTATCCATTTATCCCAAAGAGCAAGAAATTTCTCTTGCGATTGTTCTTTTAAGAAAGCCGAAATCTTTGCCATTTCCGCCAGATAAGACACTTTAAAAAACCATTCCTGCAAAGTAGGCAAAGATTCCTTCTTCCAATATTGTCCTACTAACAGCCTTGCGGCTGTAATCAAGTTCAACATCAATATAACCTCCTTTGTATCACAATCAGTAACTATACCTAACAAAAATAATTGTGGAGTAAATTTTACCCTCCTTCTAAAGATTCTCTGAATATTCCACCATATCTTAATCCAAAAAGCTTTTATATTTCTGCACGACCACCAAATATGATAGTAGGTGGCATCCAAACAACCACATCTCCAACATTTAGGCTGTAGGTCAGGGTACATAAAAGACATTTTTTGTGGATCAAAGTGCCATCTATAAAACATTTTATAAAAATTCTCCCTTAGATTCTGTGCTTGTGTAAATTTAACATTTCTCACCCAAATAGTTTCCCAGGTATCCAGTAGAACTGGTTCACCAAAATTCTGCGCCCATTTAATCATACAATCTTTAATTAATTCTGTTTCTAAATCCAATTCCACTAGAACCCCATAAATTCTCTTAATATGAGTTTGTCTTTGATCCTTCACTTGCTTAATAAGATTTTCATCTTCTCTGAGGAAACCCACCTTACGATCCATCTTCCATCTGTCTACTAATTGCCTATATTGAAACCAAGAATAAGTAATATTTTCATGTACTAACTCTTCCAATAGTTTTAACTGCCAGTTTTGTCCATCCCATCTGAGTAACTGTGTATAAGACACCGTATCCATTTTAACACCTCTTTTTATCCCCTCTATCGCATGCCAAGGTATAGCCCATAATGGTATTTTAAAATCACTTTTATAATATTTTCTCCAAACCCTAAGTAAAGAGATTCTTATAATATGAGATTTAAAAGCCCGGTCCACTTTCTTATTAAATATTAAATAGGCATGCCAACCAAAAAGTAAATCCCATCCCTCCAGATGGAGTATCTCCAAATTTGTTAAATTTACCCAATCACTAATTAATGTTAAAACCACCGCATCATAGTATAATTTCAAATTCAGTACCTTGAGTCCACCTCTCTCACGGGAGTCTTGCATGATTTTAAACTTTACCCTTGGTTTTTTCCCTGCCCAGATAAATTTATTAATACCTTTCTGCCATTCACTTAAATTAATCTCATTCTTCAAAATCGGTAACATTTGAAACAAAAAAAGAAACTTGGGTAGAACATTCATTTTAATCACTGCAATTCTTCCCATGAGAGATAATTGCAACTTCTCCCAATTCCTCAAGTCTTTCTGTACTCTAACCCACAACCTTTCATAGTTATTCTTAAACAATTTTGCATTAGAAACAGATAAAATCACCCCCAAATATTTTACCTTATTAACAATTTCAAAACCCATCAAGTTAGCCAAAATCTGCTTTTCCCGAGTAGTCATATTTTTAGGTAGGATTTTAGTCTTATTAACATTAATCTTAAAACCCGAGACCAAACCATAATGATAAGTCAGCTGTAATAACTTTACTACAGAATAAGTAGGTTGCGACAAAGTAACCACCAAGTCGTCTGCAAAAGCTCTTAACTTATATTCTTTTTTGTTAACTTCTATTCCTTTTATTTCCTGCGACTCTCGAATTTTAATCAACAAAATTTCCAGTGTTAAAACAAACAACAACGGTGATAATGGACATCCCTGCCTAGTACCTTTCTCTATTGTAAAAACCTCTGACAAACCTCCATTAACAATAAGTTGTGCCGTTTGTTTTTGGTATATTGCCGTAAGAGCTTGTAATATCTTTTCACCAAGGTTCATCTCTTCAATTGCTCTTAACATAAAATGCCAATTCAATTGATCAAAAGCTTTTTCAGCATCTAAGAATATCAGCCCTGCAGAAACTTGGTTATTCTTATCTAGATATTCTAATAAATTAATAATTTGTCTAGCATTATTTTTCATGTACCTACCAGTTATAAACCCAGATTGGTCCTTATGTACAAGAAGATGCACAACCCTCATAAGCCTATTAGCTAAAATTTTTGCAAATATCTTATAGTCAACATTTAAGAGAGATATAGGTCTATAATTCTTTGGTAAAGTAAGGTCTTGATCCTCTTTTGGAATCAGGGATATAAAAGCACTACGCCATGAAGGAGGAATCTCTGAACCCTGTAAAATATTATTAAAGAGATCACCTAATGGTTGAATCATCTCTTCCATTAGAGTTTTGTAATAAATGGATGTCAACCCATCCGTACCCGGTGCTTTCCCTGATTTCAATTGTTTAATTGCTGTCGCAATTTCCTCATTAGTAATTAAGCCATTAATTTCATGTTTCTGGTCCTCTGTCAATTTGGGAAAGTTGGCCTCACTTAAATATTTGTTTATATCTAAAATTTGCACATTGGTAGATTTATATAATTTTTGATAATAATCTAAAAAAGATTTCTTAATCAATTCCTTCTGATACACTAGTTTACCCTTATAGTTTATTTTATCTATTATTCTCTGTCTCTGTTTCTTTCTTAATTGATAAGCCAACCATCTCCCTGGTTTATTAGCATTACAAAATGTATTTTGTTTCATAAACAATAAATTAGTTGCGGATTGATCCGCCATCAACATATTAAATTGTGTTCTTATTAATTTGATAGATAACAATTAAATATAAAGATTTTTCTAAAATTTCTACCAATAATAGTCACATCAATATCATGCTTCTTTTCTATCTAGTCATCTTGGTTGTCTCGTCATGAATCCTGTTTACAATTCTTATTTAAATTTATTTCCCCATCAATGTTCAGAACATTTCTACTGGTTAAAATTTTCCCAGAGTTAATTACTTTAAAGTATTTAAATCTATTTTGATGTCCTAAAAAATAAGTAGGAAAAAGACACGAAAGAAAAAATAGAAAAGAAAAGACGTGAGAGAGAAAAAAAGGGAGAAAAAACAACAAAATAATATACTATTTAAAATACAGATCCCTCTTGAACTAGTATATAATTATTTCCAATTTTTCTCTGTTCTGTTTACCTATACTTAAACCATGTTTAATCTTTAAATGTTCCATTTAATAAATCTAATCATCTAATCTTTTAACTCTATTCAAAACATTTTTCCCTTTTTAGTTATCCATTGGAATTTTCTTACAATCAATTATCTATTTAAGTATCTAAATATTCCTTTATATTGATCATCCCAAACATTTTTATATTTCTCATATCAAAAAACAAAATAAAAGAAGAGAAAAGAAAAAAATATTGTCTTACTTGGAGGGTTTATCCCTCTTAAACTAAAATCTATTTCTTCAGCCATATTCCAACAAGTGTTTAATTTTTAAATATTCCCTCTGATACATCCCATCATCTAATTCCTCAATTCTCACTTTAGCTCTCTTCTTTTGCCAAGCATCTTTCCCAATCAATATACAATATTCCACTGAATCAAAGAGTCTTTCCATAATTTTGCAGATGTTGTTGTGGATATAATAGGTAAATCAAACATCATGTATTTGTAAAAAGATTTTGCCCCTTCATATTCATTGAATATTTCTCTTGTTATCCCTTGTCTCCCCATTTCTTGTGGTACTCCCAAGAGCTCAGCAGTCCATTTTGTCAAATCTTTTTCCTTATCCTCAAATTTACTTTAGGTCTTAGAGTACAAGTTATCTTTTCCATGTTCAATGTTTCTTTTTTTTTTTTTTTTTTTGAAATTTTTATAAGTTTTTACAAAAAAACAGAAAAAAATATAACAATACAAAAACAGAGAACAACATATACAAAAAAACTAACAAAACTCCCCTTCCCCAACCCCCCCCCAAAACACCCCCCCTTCCCCCCCCTGAGCTTCCCAGAGCAGAATATAGGCTTAATTAAAAAAGAATTAAAAAAAATTATATATAAAAAAGAAAAAAAATAACACTGAAATATATGTATATGTATATAGAAATAAGAATTATGAAAAAGCAATGTGATATTTTTTTATATCCAATTTAAATTGTATAAATTCTATCCATTTATCCCAAACAGCAAGAAATTTCTCTTGCGTTTGTTCCTTTAAGAA